GGTAGGAACCAACCGCGTCGGCGACAGGGACAGCAGAGCGGCAGCTCGGCAGCCCTCCGGAGCCGGGGTCAGGCACTTCCAAACACTCTGCCTTGCCATCTAGTGGGATGAAGGCGAAAGACCGGGACTCACAGTTCAGAAAAGTTGGCTGACTCCGTGCCGCCGGAGCTGAGCCTGACTGACAGCTATATATTTCATCCTACAGGAGCAGATGAGATCACCGAGGCTAAAGGCCTGTGTTTAGATGTCAGGAGGATGGATGGTGAAGAAGGAGAGAGAAAGGGAAAGATATGGGAATAGACAGGGAACAGATAGATACAGCTGTTTCAAGGATGGCATGACAAGAGGGCTAATAAATCTTGGCATTTTAGAGCCTGAAAGGAAAGGCTAGACCAGGGCTACATTGCTTTTATCATTTACCCAGGACTTTGACTTTTGGGTGAACAGAACTGGTGTCTGAGTAGCCCTGCTCCGGGCTTTGCATGAAAAAGAAAGGCAAGGGAAGCAAGCGCCATCCCAGCCTTGCATGTTATTCGCAAGCACAAAAAGTTCCTCCTTGGTTTGCTCAGCCAAAGGGTGCATGTCCCAGCCGTGCGGTCCCACGTGGCAGAGCGCCTTGCATGCGCATCAGCTCGCGGCCCGTGCCTGGCCGTGCGAACCGGGCAGGCTTGTAGGAGCGAGCACCCAGCAGCTTTTGCAGTGTGCCCATATATGAAAAGCTGGATCTTCTTGCAAGCTGCCTTTGCCTCCCTGAGCCTGGAGGATGTGGGCTGAGCTCAGTGGTTTCAGTTCAGTATTTTGGATTCTCCAGGGATGTGTCATCTCTCTCACGGTATGCATGTTTATTGCATGTGTATAAAAATATAGAGGCTGAATACATTATATTTAAAATATCCCACCACTGGGCAGCTTTTTCAGATCTTGAAGGCTGGGACGATACGAGATATTTTAACTTCCTCAGAATGGAAAGCAGCTCTTTCTGCTGGCTCCGGGGATGGTTGGCTCCCAGCTCCCAGTGCTGCTGCTGGCAGACTTTCCCTGCAGCTGAAGGAGACCCAAACCGCAGGGGCTCTGCAGCTCAGGGGAGTGGGAACCCTCTGGGCAGAGCTAGCGGCCGAGACCTTGGACTGCTGCGGTTGTGGCGTGTTGGGACCACACGGAGAGGAGGGCAGGGCTGCAAGCTGGAG